CCCCTCTGATACTTGATACTCCTGGACAGTAGTTCTTTACCCCATGAGTACTTACAAAGCATAAGGGTGGCAGAAATCTGGCATAATTAAAAGAAAAACCACTCTAAAGAATCCCTTATTTGGATAGTGCCTGGCACAATTGGGCCCCTGAATCATGACAGGGTCCCAGATGTGCTGCTATAATACAAATAAGAACTTAAGAATGACCTTTCTTAATGCAGCTGCTTTCAGGTTTTTAAGCTGAGTCTCATTCTAAAGATATAGAAAGATGAGAACTATTGTAAGATACTAATCTTTTTTCAGCCAAACCTACATTAGAAAGAAAGAGTTGTATCTTAGCTTCCTAAAATTATGACGGTTATTATAAGAGAAAATGTTAGGGCCAAATAATTAGGTGTCATAACTTGGTTCCATTTACAGCAGCTGAGAATCTGGCCCTTAGCTCCTTCGGTATAAGATTCAAGTTTGATTTATTATATAATTAGTGAGTGTTTCTGTGACCTGTAAAATCATTTTGATACCCATCATTTTTGTAAAATGCTACTAAATCTAAGAAAGTAGTCATGAAAAATCATTCTAAGGTAATCTTTCAGCAAACCATAATGACGTTAAAATTACATTTCCAATTAATTATCTACACTATCTCTGATTAATACTTCAATTTTGATGAATGAGATGCCTAAATGGTACCAAGTTCAATATGTAAAATTGTGACACACATCCTAGTTAAGACAGGGAGCATTTGTACAAATTTTAAATAACTGAATACTCTGTTGAGAGCTGTTCCGATTGCTGTCTAAAGCTCATTCTTGCAAGGTACTATATGCTACTGGAGAGATTCTGAAAACCTCAAGTCCTTTTGACATCAACAGGAGTGAAGGACATTCAGGAGTCCCTCAGTATCTTGCAGGACTGGACCTTCCCTTTGCATCTTCAACTGTTGGATCACCTCTGATGTGATCTTTCCACAAGGTTTAGTCCCATGGTTTGTTTTGTGGTTATGCTCAGGAAAGTGTTTTTCCACCATATCACTTCATTACCCCCACATGACTGACTAGATAAGGGTCAATAATCCTGGAAAGCTGTTTGCACAATCCATAAATAAGACTTTTAAAGGGCGAGGTGGGAGAGGAGCCAGATATTTTATTAACTCAGCATTCTTCAATGTCAGTTGCAGGGTAAGTGGTGGTAAATCATGAATGCAAAGATCACAGGTTCAAGGTCATCCTCATCTGGAGAAGTGATGTGCAATTCTACTGTTATTTTGGGTGGGAAAGTGGCCCCTTTTCTGAACACACAGTCCCTCTTCTCTTTGTATGCTGCATTATACAGATGTTGACCTTGGTTAAGGGCAATAGACTATGGCCCAAGGTTTAAGAAAGTTCCTGAGAGTCAACTTTGAGCAGTATTGCTTCTCATTGACCCAGTTGTGTTGATTCAAGATTGGTGACATCTTTTTAGTTGGTTGACCACATTTGATCCCGTCACCATTTTTTTTTAATATCTAAACTTTTAACCAAAAGCCTTCTCACTCTGGTTGGTTCCTCTACCACAGTGGTTCTCAAATTTTTGTACTAGTGACCCCTTTCACATAGCTGCCTCTGAGTGCAACCCCACCTTATAACTTAAAAACACTTTTTAAATATATTTAACACTATTAGAAATGCTGGAGGCAAAGTGGGACTTGGAGTGGAGGCTGACAGCTCACGACCTGCCATGTAATAACCTTGTGACCCCAACCCTCAGTTTGAGAACACCTGCTCTACCATTTATCAGTTTAACTATCTATAAAAATTCACTCACTGTCACACAGAGAGAGCTTGAAAGAGCTAAAACTGAGTATGTTTAACTTTAACACGCGCACAGACTAGCAGGTAGCTACTGTTTTCTCCACCTTAAGGTTTGGGGGACGGGGGAGTTGTGCTTTTCTATTACTCCCATTTACCTTTTCAAATTGTATGCTTTTCAGGGCAGAGACTGGGGTCTTACTCTATGTTTGGAAAACACCTAGCACATTTTGAGTGCTACCATGAGCTAAATAACCCAGATCTATAGGAAGATAACAGGTTTGTAAATACACACACACACAGGCAAATTACATGCATGCACACACACTCAACCAGCCATTCCCAGTACTAATTACATTTATCTAAAGGGGAAAACTTGATTTGTATGCATATCTCCGCGTTCATCTTCCTGGCTTCTCTGAAGATAATCATTAATATCCCCTTTAGTTTGGTAGGGAGCAGTGTCTCTTTCGAGCTATGGGGCAATTTCCCATCTACACTACGCTCTGATGATTGTTTTCTACCCTTAAATTTGTGCTCCGGTTGGAAGGAGCTGAATCCCGTGTAGGAAATGTGGAGTTGGAGTTGGAGGGGAGGGGCGGGGAGAGACCTGGTTGTCACAAATTCTTCGAGTGGGCACGGGTGGATTTTAGTAAATTCCAAGTTTTTTAAAAGAACCATTTTGTTACAATGGTAAAAGGCAGAACAACCACCGAGGCGACACCTAGGGGCCAAATCCCGCGAAAAGACGCAGCTGCAGGGAAAATGTCAGGACCACAGCCCGCGGACAGCTCCTGTCCTCAGAAAAGCCCGAAGGGCGGCTGTGTTTTCTCTTCAACCCACCCGTCCCTAACACCATCAGATCTATTTCGTGAAGATCAAGAGGTGTCGCGGGAGATCTATGGTCGTTCAGCTATTTCGCACATGGATTTTTGCAGGGAACGGAACAAGCTCACACTCCCATTTTCCGTTTCAAAACCCAAACGCAGCCTTCCTGGATTCTTGCTCAGCAAAGGAGAGGTTTTAAAAAAAGAATCCGAGCCCTGGCAAGTGGGTCATATTTCTTTTGCGTTGCAGCCTGAATGAGATGGGAAATACTTCAGAACAACCCAGGACTCCCTCCCGCGAGTCCCCCCTCGCGTGCCACGTTACATTTGGAGACACGACCCTAAAGAATGCTGTGAACTAAACCATCACACAAACGCTAAACGCCCCCGCCCCCAGCCTGATCGCATCTAATAACCAAGGAGAAATATTCCCAAACTAGGTAAATAAAAACACACACGCGTATAAATACACTTTCAGAAGCCCAGAGGAAGATCTCCCTCCGATGTCAGCTTTCTATACAGTTCAGTGCTGTGGAATTCAGCCTGCCTCTGGCTTCCCATAATTAAGCTAACTCCTTGCCTTAAAGTATCGCTGATTATCTCAAAAGCAAGACAGCGTCTGAAACCAAATCCCCTGCCAAAAAGGTTAAAAAAAAGGGGGGGGGGAGGTTGGTGTGGACGGGAAGGAGGAACAAGTGACAAAAAAACAACCCCAACCACTCTCCAATAATTTCAGGAGTCCATTACCAAGTAACTCAAGAGAGACCGGATTAGAAGGTACTGAGTTACGTGTGTGTGTGTGTGTAAATGTATGCAGGAGGCTGGGTTGTTTGTGGGGCGCGGAGGAGGGGGAGAACCTGGACGTGTACGGCCAAGATTTCCTAGCTCCTTGCTCAGCCCCCAGAACGAAAAAGGAAGGGTGCTAGGACAGCTCTCAGAGTTGGAAACGTTATTTGAGAACGCAGTTTTAGAGTGTCTCTAGCCAGCCAGCTGTTCTAACTACTGCGTATAGATGCGTTCAGTGGGGAAACCGACCCAGGCAGCTTTCTCCGAGCCCGACTAGCTTGCGGCGAGAGGATCCCACGATTAATGTTGCATCGCTCCACAAACGGCAAGGCAACCGGGCTGCCGCCTGGTCCGTCCCCTGCTCCCTGGGGCCCTGACAAAAAGTCTTGCTGCTAACCTCAGGTTTCCATCAGGGTCAGCTGAGTAGATGAAGAGGGTGAGCCGAGCGCCCTGAGCCCTAGAGGAGAGCCAGGCAGCGAGGGAGGAAAGAGAGAAGGGGACAGAGCAATTCCGTTTCTCTAGGATATGGTTAGAACCGGCTCTTTTTCGAGCTGGCTATTTTTGACGGCCCCCTTGCATCGGAGGCTCAAACACGGTTCCCTGCTCCTCTCCGATTTGCTGCCTCTGCAGTTACTTGTAAGACAGTCGAACTTGTAAACACGAGCAGGAGCAAGGGCAGACCCATGGGAAGATGCAGGATAAGCAGCTTTTGCAAAAAATGAACTGTCAGATGCCATAACGGCTGCTCATCCCTCTCTCCCCATAGCTTCTGGGGCTCATTCCCCTAAGCCCTGCGAGCGTACGATGCACATACCAAGAAATGCTCCGCGGAGAACCGGAGAGAGATAGCAAGCCTGGGACTGCACCCCCACCTCCAGAGACTGCCCTGGGCTTCGGGGTCCAGGGTCCGGTGCACGGGGGTTACAGTATTGCACCTCCAAAGCTGCTCCTCCTTCCCCTTACTGCCTCTCCCTCCCGCCCCCCAACCACATCCCTTACGCTGCATTCCGGAGCAGAAATTGCTCCGTGCAACCAAGGCTACCAGCCGCTAAGTTAATGTTGCAAACTCTGCCAGTCATCATTAGGGACCCTGAATTAACACCACAGCGACCAGCAAGCCCCCTGCGAGCCTACATATGGCTGGACACTGGAAGGAACAGGAAATCATTTTAAAACCCCACAAAACTGATACATTAACCTTCCTGGGGGGCGAGGGTATACTGCTCATGCATCTCCCTCCCCTCCCGCACAGCCCCATGGAATCAGAGGCTTCTAGCATGTCACTTACCTGTAGTATTCCCGTGGCAGAGTGAGCACAGTTTAAAGCCTGTAGCAGCTGGAAGAAGAAGAAGAAAAGGATGTCAGAGTTTTGGTGTGTTTGGGTTTTTTTTTTAAATCTCCTTATGGGGAGGAAGGATACAGAAGTCTGCAGGAGCGTTTGTGGGGGAGAGGGAAGGAAATCATGAAAGGCTGGAGCCTGAAGGAGGAAAAACCAAGGGGGAGTAAACGAAAGACCGGGAAAAAAAAATCGAAAAAAAAAATCACAACACAATCTTGGCGCTGGTGTCAGTCGCAATCCAGGAGCTAGGAGGTGTAAATGCTGAATCCTGCCCTATTTCTGCTGCTTGGACCAGAGCTGCCTGACGTCACCCAATCATTTGCATATTCTACCCAATAGCGGACACCTGTGCGGGCTCAGGAGCGGGGCTGGGAGCCGGGGAGGAGCGAGTCCCGCACGCCGCCAGGCGGGCGCTCCCTCTCCAGGAGAGCCAGGTAGGGCGGGTGGGAGAGGAGGGAGAGGGGTCAGAGAGCCGCAGCCCGAGCCAGACAGAGGATCCGTCAGCAGCACTTTCGGAGCAGAATGCCGAGTGACAATCCGCTTTTATGCAGGGCTGGGTAAAGCTAGAGCCAGCCCCACATCCAATGTGACTGAAGGGCAGGACTAGGAACCAGGGGCTTTTTCCTAGCTCCAGTTCACTTTGACCTTGACCCAGGTGCTGCGCCCCATTGTGACTCAGTTTCCCTACCTGTACAATGGGGATGATACCACCCTCCTCGTGGTATAGTCAAGCTTAATTCGTTACTGTTTCTAACCCACATTGGCATTGGCCGATAGCAGGTGCTTTTAATAACCTTCTCCTCGTCACTAGGAGCATTTGTCACTTTGCCTTTCAGTTCCACCTCTTATCAACTGGAAAGTCATAGTATTCAGACAAGCGTACTGACAATCGGCACGATTTTCCATTGCTCTGCATCTTGTGACCATTTACATCGGGCCAAATGCTTGTAAAGGAGCTATTGAACTCGGAATACAGCCTGTCACACCCACTTTGCTCTGGTGTAAACGACTGTGAATCAGGCCGATTGAGATCACAGTAGGTGACTTTTTAATTTTTAGCGTTCATAGCTGAAGAGATCACTCAAGACAATAGCTCCAGGGCGAGCAGAGGTTAGCTCCCAGGCTCGGAGTCACTGCTCTCATACTCAGCTGATCAGTAGGGGACTCTCTGGCCTTTGAGTGGCTCAGCCGGAGTAATGAGGATCGCTGTAAGGGCTTACAATGGCAGACAAGAAGCACGAGTCAAGTAAATGAATACCGAGGGAAGAAATGCATTACAAGACTGAAACTTTTGTCTTCTCTGCAGCCGATGTCCCTTCTGCTGAACTTCAGTTTTCAAATCTCATTTAAGTGATGGGGCAACCCCCCAAGGGATGGAGGTGATGCTAGGTTGTTATTAGGCTCCACATAGTTTAGAATCACACTGACTGTGGCTGCTGTATGTGGAGTCATTATTCCTCTATCCAGAAAGGTGCCAAAGTAGGTCCCCATTGACACTGCTGCAGACCAAAAAAACAAAACAAAAACCACCCCAACACAAAACAGATTTTAAAATCTCCAGGAGGAGCTAGAATACCAACTTGGAGGGATTATGAAGACCAGCAGCTGCATTGCTTAATGAGGACTGGGACTCCCTGACAGAAAGCTGAAGGAACTGCTCTAATTTCTAAAGAAAAAGAAATAGAAGATGTATTGCAAAAAATCATACCTGCTGAAAAATCCTCTGAGAAATGGGTTACTACTAAAGATGTTTGTGTTTAATTTTGGGATGACTTTTACATTGACATTATCCTTCGTCAAATTTGAAGAGCAGCTGTAAAATAGGGCACTCTCTACATGTTTTGCAGCAGCAAAAGCTGAGTTTGGGCACAATTATTATTATTGGGATGGGAATTAAAGTTCTGATGCATTTGCATCTCAAGAATGTTCAGACTTGAGCTGGACCATTGCATTTTGACACAAGCATTGAAGTCACATGGCATGTCTTAGGGATCCTTCATTGAATGACACTACTTCATATGCTCAGCAGAGGCAGCAGAAACTATTTTAAACTGTTCCCAAAGGCTTGAGGAGGAAGGGGAAGTGTTATACCTTCAAATGTCACCAGATGGAGAGAGAAGTCAAGTGGCCTATCTCCCTCAAGATAACACCTGATCAGGGTAGATGGGGAAAGATACTATTACAGGGCTCAGAAGAGGATTGGTTGGTCATGGAGGTTCTGCGGGGCCTGATGTGGAGACCCTATAGAAATGGACCAGAGATACAAAGTCTAGATCAGCTTCAAAGTTCACAGGTGTTCAGGTCTCTATATCGTCTCCAAGCCAGGCTAACCTTTTTTTGTATGCATGTAACTTAATATGAAAATCTTGGTTCCTCAAACCTTGGACTAATTCTTTCCTGAACCTTGGACACATTACCCCACCATTGGATGCATCCAAATAGTCTCTCATTCTCTTTGCCACAACTCTCATTTGATTCAAAAGAAAAACAGTAAATACACAAGTTTTAAGATTGATCAAAATTGTTCTGTCTGAACTGTCTAAAATTGGATTTAACTAAACAAAATTTCACAAAAAGTATCTGCTTTTTATAGAAAATGTTTATGTTGAAAAATTGAATGCCCCCAAAACAATTTTTCAGCTGAAAACAAAAATAGTGTTATTGTGAAAGGTCACCACGATGCCTCATGGGAGTTGTTCGGGCGACTCATGCTCCCATTCTCCTGTATGTGCTAAACTCCTGAGCTATACTTAGTCTCCCTTGATACACTAGAGCAGGGGTTGGCAAACTTTCAGGAGTGGTGTGCCGAGTCTTCATTTATTCACTAATTTAAGGTTTCGCGTGCCAGTAATACATTTTCATGTTTTTAGAAGGTCTCTTTCTATAAGTCTACAATATTTAACTAAACTATTGTTGTATGTAAAGTAAATAAGGTTTTTAAAATGCTTAAAAAGCTTCCTTTAAAATTAAATTAAAATGCAGTTTCCCGGACCAGTGGCCAGGACCTGGGCAGTGTGAGTGCCACTGAAAATCAGCTCGCGTGCCGCCTTTGGTTGCCTACCCCTGCACTACAGCCATGGAAGTTCCATGGTGGGCCACCTCCTCTCACCAAAAAGGGAAACCCTGGTGCCTCATCAGTGATTTAGTCTGAGCAGGGGGCCAAGCCAATAGAGTAGAATGTGAGCAAGAGGCACCTGAACTATAACTCCCATTATGCACTGCACCAACATTTCACAGTGAAACTACTTCAGTTTCTCACCTAAAACTCAAATCTGGAACACTGGACAGAGCCCTCTGTGGGGTCAGAAGTTGTGAATGATGGAGGGGCTGGTATAGGAATTGAGCAGACCTGGGACAGGAAGTCAGTGCTCACAAGCTGGGGATTGATGGCACCCCTCCACAGAGTTTACTAGGAGACTGGCAACACAGAGGAGATGACCTTTTCACAGAGCCCCTGACCATAGTGAGGTAGCCCCCATTAAACAGCTGTCCTGGGGAGCCGAAGGGGAATTTTGAGACCTGGGGAATGTCATATGGATGACCATGGCTTCTTGCAGCTCCAGCTGTGGGTTTTGGCATGCAATTACTGTTTATTGCATAGGTGGGAACACACTGTCCACTAACACGCAATAGAATGATGAAGGTAAATTCTGTCAGGACTGCTTTCTGCATCCACAGATGTTTCAATGGGATAGGACTGTATTTACATAATAGCAATGTGCCAAGGGGAGCAAGTGCCATGCAGGATATGGATTCCCTTCCATATTAGCAATAGTGAGTGCACCAAGTGCAGCTTTCCAGGGAAAAGCAGAGACGTTAACACAATGCTGCACAATATTCAAGCACCGACTCGAATGTCCTTTTAAACACACACAAATATAAATTGACTCACACCAAATTCACTCATTAACGATTGAAAATAATCAGGACCATACAATTTCCTATCATCTGGAAAGCTACATACCCCAGAAAAAGGCCAATATTTTCAGGCTTAACTCCACATTTAGGCACCTAAATGTGTGGTCATCTTTTCAAAGGCAGTGAGCACCCCCGGTTCCTACTATTTTCATGGCAGACCAGCGTGCTCGGCATCTCTGAACATTTTTCACTAAGTATTTTGTACCTTTCTGTATTTATTTTACCACCTTTTTAAAATAAAATTTTAATAATTTTTTTTAAATTTAAACTACTGTCTAGCACGCTTCTCTGTCCCCCAGAAGCCCTCCTCCTCTGATCAGTTAATGAGCTGACATCTTCCCCTGCTTACCTTTACACTATATTGGGAATAGAAAGTTTGTAGTTAAGCTACAGCAACTGGCACTGTGTGACTGAGATGTATTCTAAGATCTCCATTGGATAATGTGGCACTTTTTGAAAGGTGTGATATGTAGTGTCATCTTTGAAGCTCTGATGTGCCACAAGATACTCTTTACTGGTTCACACAGCTTACATGTGCTGGCAACAAAAATGACTTTCAGAGATGGGGTGGGAAAAATAAACCACTGTCACCGTTGGTGATGAAGAATGGATATATTCTTAATATTTAGGAATGGATGAGTTTGAAGCAATTCAATGCAGCAACTATTTTTAACTGGGAATGAAAGGGGCCCAAAAAATTTTTATTAAAGAAGAAAATGGTGATTGCAGGAAAGCAGAAAAGAAAAATGAATTATTTTAGGTCAGACACAGGGAATGGGGAGTTTCCTGATGCAGAGAAAAAGAAGCAAGGCACTGCAGTTCCTTGTCAGACAAGGACTGGACAGTGATCTGTAACGCTGAACTGAAACCAGCTCATTTGAAATGAGAAAAGTCTTTTCTTCAGGCTCAAAGTGTGTTGGAAACTAAAAAGCCAAATGAAAGTTCTTTGGAAACTCAGAAGACGAAGCAGCGAGGTAGTATAGCTTTATAAAATAAATATGAGTAAATACAGTGAGAGTAAGAAGAGGGAAAGAAAGATTAGTCATGGAGGAAGCCACAGAAGTTCAGGCTTTATCTATATTCACTTAAATCTGAATACATTTGCATGTTTTTAAAAAGAAGGCTCCAAAACCAGTTTCCCCATCTCCCAGGCTTCAGATCCTTGCACTGGAATTTAGGATCACATTTTTAAATATAGCAGGCCTGAATCTCATTTCACTAAGGCCACTTTATATTACACCGGCAGTGCTCCTAAATAAGAAGGGAGGGGGAAGAGATAAAATAATCTTATCTGAAAATTTAGGTTTAAATTATAGCAAGTAATTTCCTTTAGTATCCAAAATCCTACGCCTGAGGTAATTTGAACCCAGGTCTGTTATGGAGCAATTTATTTGCTATACTACCAGGAAGCTG